CAGGAAAACTTAATATTTTTTGAGGTTATATTTAATATTAAATGAAACATAGGTCAGCCTATGAACTTAGTATGAATTCTAGGGATGTCGAAAGTTGAAAAAAATATCGATATATCGATACATCGATCTTTTAAAAAATATCAATATCGGCTTCGATATATCGCGAAAAAAACATCGATATATCGGACCAATTTTCCCAAAAATATCGTACAGTATCTCGCGAAATATGACACGCGGAATAATAATAGAACGAAAATTATCTCCCTAAAAATAGACCCTATTTTCGAATGATGAAAATGATTGCAGGGCCTTTAAGGTAAATGATTGCAGGGTCTCTTTCGTAAACAAGACTAGACAGTCACACACTTCACAGAATATAATGGAAATCAGCACAACCAATTCACCAGCGCAACAGATTTACAAATAATAGACAATACTAAATACAGCACAGATCATAGATATTTTGAATATCATTAATCTGAGATCCAGTTACGATTATTCCAGATACGAATTAAGTTAGATCGTGATATGCCGCTGATAATTAAAAAAATATCGTTTTTGATACGAATTTCGATATTGGTTATTTTGTATCGATATATCGAATCAAAATATATCGGCAAAAAATATCGATATATCGAACAAACAATATCGATATATCGATACATCGATATATTTACAAAAAGCCTAATGAATTCAGTATGAATTGAATTATCATTACAAGTAATTCATTTTTTTTAGATGCGATTTTAAAGAATAACTATTAGGAAACCTGGTAAGTTGGGAATCATGAATAAAATAAAAACTGTTTTGCTTCTTATTTTTTGGCTATTTTTCACATAATTGTATCATATTGTATTTTATTTGTATATCACATGTATATTGTATAAATATGCAGCGTGAATGTGTATCAGCTGCTCTTGAATAATTTGGCAGTATGATCCTCTCAGGAGGTTGTGGCACAGGTTCTCTAGCACTTGGTAATAAGGGGTCTGCTACTTGGTAACATCGATGGCATATTAGATAGCCGAAATAGTTAAATTAAAGGAAAAACAATCGCAAAGAAACACACACAATAGGAAATCTGAAACGAGAATTCACGAATGCCACAGATTACTACGAATGCAAACTGCCTGCAACAAAACCACAGAGTATCAAGTTTTATGCCCGCCCTTCACTTGACAACAGTCTGTCATTGGTAGTTTTCCAATTACAGCACTACAGCGCATAATGCCTATCTTAGCGCACTCTGCTGTTGCATTTGAAAACTAATTCAAGTTCCAATTAAGCATCATCATACTTCGGCATTGTACGCCACTGTGTCGCATTATGCTCAGTAATTGGAAAACTACCCTTGTCATGCTTAATATGGAATAAAAAGGACAGACTGATGTCAAGTTTCAAAAAGCAAAAACGAATAGCCAATTGAAGTGCCGGCATTATGGTAGTCTCAGATTATTTTTCAACTTTTTAATATAGCTTACATAACTGGAAGTGTCTGTCACAATCTAAATACTGATAATTATTGCAAAAAATAAACTAAGAATTATCATAAATGCCAAATTGGTGTTGGTTCTTAGGCCAAATTTAACATGCCCCTCGATTCGGGGGGGGGGGGGGGGGGTTGTGTTCGTATTTTCTATCAGGCTTTGAAAGCATTGATGCAAACAAATATGCGTAATGAAACAAAGTTTTGTTTAAACGGTTTTGGTGAATGTTTCACCCGATGGAAAGAATGAAATGTCGCTTTCCTAAATATACAGTCCCTCAATCTAATGAAAATTATTCCTCAGGTGGTTCTTTTTAGCAAACCTCAAAAAACAATTTAACATTATTAAAAATAGGGTCAAAACTTTGATTAAGTATAATTAGAAGGGCTACCTAAGGTATATCAGTACAACAAATTACCTGAGCTCAAATTGGAGCACTCGTCTTTGGGAAATATGCGACTTCCTATTCCAATAATTGCTTGGCCAATACTGAACCTGTGCCGTAGTAACAAAACATACCATTAATAAAATTGTATATAAATGTATCTTTAGACCTATACAAAGGTTAGTTGTGGCTAATCGAATTTGAATGATATTTCTACATACTTATTTTTTCTTTTATAAAAATCAAATCACTAACAACCGACGTGTTCCATTTGGAAATTTGATAATTCTGGTAAATCTTCGATAAAAGATTCTGTCAATATTTTTTAAGAATATTTAATACCTAGAACCTCTATAGGTTATGTATTAAATATTTTAAAATATTATTGATTTAATTTTGGACATCTGTCCAAAGTGAGATCATAAATAATGTTGAAATGCCACGCCCTTAGTATTCCAAATGCCTCGTAATTTGCCAGTCCATTACCTATATTCCTAATTAATACTAGATCAAGATGGCAGTCTATGTTAAATTAAAATATTGTAAATATTATTGACTTTACTGTACTAAGCCAACATTATTTGCAATGCAAAGATATTTAAGCGACATCTATAAGAAACGCCTTCGAAACACTCATTTCAGTAGTTCTGTTCTGTACCTGTTCATATTCAGTGTAACACCTAGATGGCGCTACTTGTACCTAACTTTGAAGTAGGTCATGTAAATCGAATAGTTATAGTTGCCGGTGCCTATTCAATTTATGTAAGCGGTTGAAGGATAAATTAATAATGTACATTAAACATTAACTTTGTAATTCTACATTTACGATTATTTATTATATAATGAAAATTGCTACAGTAGAAAATCTGACGGCATTTAGAACTTCACATAACAGGTTTTTAAACGACTCCAGTGCAAGTAATTGTCCTAATTCATTGAATATGTGTGTGTACATTGTACGTAGTAATTTTCCTCAACGTCATGTCCCACACATCTGGATGCCACAATTCGGTAGTATTAAATGATTTAGGTGGGACCAAGTTGTCGTTTGCGTAAAATATTTGCTGCAAATTGTAAAACTGATATCTGCTTCATCAATCATATTATTATATTACCTATAAAAGTCATTATCATTAATTAGTAGATTGGCTTAAGACTATCTGACATTGAACTTTTTTTTTTATTCCAGAACGAACAAACAGCGAAAGGTCACGAATATCTCACACTGAAAGCCGACTGCCGCCAACTAAGAGAAGCTTTAGACAAGAAAGAGAAAGAAATAATGAGACTTCGCGCCGAATCGGAAGAAAAAGAGAAGACCGCCAATCGATTGCAAATAGAAGTCGACAAACTCAGCAACGATCTAATGGAGAGCGTCTCCGACTTGGGTAAGACTAAAGAGACAAGCAAAAACGAGATAGAACGACTGAAAACGGAACTGAAAGAATTGAGACAGGAACTGTCTGACGTGTCGCTCAGCGGTTACGAAGGAATCGAATGCGGGAGGACCATGAGAGGCATATACGACGTTTGTAAAAGCAACGAGTACCATTGGAATTCGAACGACAGCGCCCTAGAAGATGCCGAAGTACAAAGACTGAACGGAGAGTTACCTGACCCCTGTGGGGAACCGTGCCCTGCCAGTCAGATGGTCGAAAGATTGAAATGCGAATTAGAAGCTAAAGAAGCCCAGTTCAATAACGAAAGAAGAAAATGGTCCGAGGAGAAAGATAAAGTGTTAAGATACCAGAAACAGTTACAGCTGAACTACGTCCAAATGTTCAAGAGGTCGCGCACTTTAGAAGCCGAGGTCGATGGCCTCCGACTTGAACTAGAGTTGTGCAACAAGAACATGAAAAACTTAAACAAACACGGAAAGACAATAGAGTTGTAACATTACCAAATTATATAGAAATAATATTTATAAAGGCTATTGAGAGTTTAAACGATTTTGTAAATATCCTAGGTTTAATGCGCCGTATGGTTTTCTTGCCGATAATTGTCAGACCTTATTAAACTTAATTGATAAGTTTCAAGGTAATTAATACTCAGATGACAGCATAGCGACAGATTACGATTTAAATTATTGTATATTATTTAGTTGCGATGCGCCTAAACGCAGTACGGATTACACGTTAAGTACTAAAATTAAGTTATTGTTTAGATGTAAATAAAATAAAAGTATTTTGAATATTTTACTGTGGTTTGATTGTACGTTGATTCTATAGAAAACTAGCAAACCCGGCGAACTCCGTTTCGCCACCAGATGGCTTCGTTTTATGTAACATTTCGTTTGGTGATTAAAAGAAGATTTTTTTTTTAATTTTTCCTTAATTTTCTTTGCTATAAACCTCACGGAGCCCGAGACCTTTCCAACGAATGCAAAACCGTGGAAATCGGTTCGTGCGTTCTGGAGTTATAGCGTCAGGAAGGAAAACCCGACTTATTTTTATATAGTAGACTAGCAAACCCGGCGAACTCCGTTTCGCCACCAGATGGCTTCTTTTTATGTAACATTTCGTTTGGTGATTAAAAGAAGTTTTTTTTTTAATTTTTCCTGAACTTTCTTTGCTATAAACCTCACGAAGCCCGAGACCTTTCCAACGAAAGCAAAACCGTGGAAATCGGTTCGTGCGTTCTGGAGTTATAGCGTCAGGAAGGAAAACCCGACTTATTTTTATATAGTAGATTACATAACAACAAAATTGTGTTGTCTAACAATTCTAGCGTAGCCAACAATTCTTTTCATTAATAAAGTCTTCATCTAATGAGTCTGGATCATCAAAATGAAAAACAAAATCAGTGCATCACGTGTTTATTAACATACACACTTGCAAATAAATACTTCAGGAGCAGAATCTACATATATTTAGTATTAACCGCCTGCGTACAAACTGTGGTATTATCACTAAACCGTATAGCGTAATGACTTTATTATGCTCGAGAAATGCTTCGACAATTTTCAAGGTGCAATATCAATATCACCATTAGATCGTTACATCAGTCACAATGACCTTTCAAAAGGTGATGATGATCACGAGCCGTCGTCGCAATTAATATCGAACACGTGAAAAATACCTCATTAAACCGACTGACAAAGTTTAAGGTCGTCCGATACTTTGAATTACTTAAAATTTCGATTTCAAATTCGATAGACCCAAATTCCTGGGTCTGAATGAGAAACCATCTTGTTTTATATTATCTGTGTTGTTCCGTGTCTCCTTTGCTGGTTCCACCTGAAATACGAATTGGATAATATAAAAAAAAATATAACAAATCAAAGGTTATAGATAGAGGATACAACAACAATATATTTATGTTTGAGAATTAAAACTGGACCTAAGTACCTATTTTATTTTTAATGACAAGATAGATGCTTCAATTGTTAACAAGCGTAGTATATATTTGAAGACGTGATAGAAAAATAATTTCATTTCACTATAATATATCTCAATTGTCCTGATCCGGAAACTATGTAAAGATCTAAGGATATTTTTAAACATCTAGCAGTTAAATGCTTAAAAAATTAAATGTAACTGCGTAAAGGTTTTTAAAACTCATGTCTGCATTGTCTGTCACCTATTCGTTAACTTATCTGCGAAGATCAAGATTTCTAATAAGATTATTAATTCAATGAACATAATGTCAAGATTCTCTATTCCGTTTGTGAATGAACACAGCTATGTCTGCCGCATTCAATGTTTATCTAACAAAAATAACTGGCCGAAACGGTATAAAGCGAAATTTTCTCTTTGCCTAATAAAATCCGAAGAATAATATACGAATATACGAAGATGTTTTTCAGTGTAAGTATTGATCAAGTTGAGACAAACTTTATCATTACCAGGCCAGCGAAACGCAACCAGTATTGGGTCCGCTCCACTTGAACAAGGTATACTTGAAATGTAATTAGCGATATTATCCAACTAAATGAAGAATGACATAGTAAGTTTACGTTACCTGTGTGACGTCGATGGTTGACCGTTTTCGTATTTTGTACCACCAGTACTCTACGCCCAGGGTGACACACGCAAGGCCGATACCCATGAATATTACTATGAATACTCCGCCAATGTTCTGAATTGATATCCCGTCCGACTAGAATATTGAGACTCTTATTTAGATGATATTAATATTTATGAGATAGGTAAATAAATAAATTTTTAAACCTTCCCCCCATAGGCCTGTTTTCATCAGTCGCTTATATGGGATCGTAAATAAATTAAAGAGGATGCGTGTACAGACAATGTTTTTAAATCATTTTTTTTTACAAATTACCTGGTCGTCTTGCTTCTCGCATTTCTTCGCTTTGGGATTATTAGTCCACCAGTTTTCTTTTAATTTTTCTAATTTTCTCTTATTGAGAAGTTGGAGGATCCTGTAATGAAAAGTAACGATTAATATCAATTTCATAGTATTTATTATAACTGTGCCCACGACTTTTCCCATAAAAACTTCCTCCTATCTTTTCACCACCTTAAAGAATGTTGTCTAGGATAAAAAATCCTATGTCCTTTCCCGGGAGTTCAACTGCTGCTATACCAATTTCATTTAATTCATTTCAGGGGTTAAGCGAAAAGGGATAGGTAACCGAGAGACATTAATTGATCAGAGATTGCTAATGGAAGGTAGACACCATCTTCTGATCATCATAAGATATCATAATCATTTACTTTGGTTTATCATATCACCATCTTCGATTATAAAAACTTGGATTTGCTCGATGACGTAAGTGGTTATTGCTACGTCTGCAGTCGTTGGTGCAACCAAGCAATCTGCGCTGGGCCCGCATGGTGGGTCATGGCCCAATCTCCCTATGCTATCCATAGCAAAGGCCTATGTCCCAACAGTAGGGACGTTAATAGGCCAATGATGATGAAACATACTTAAAATGGCAACATTGCATTACTCGCGTTTTTTATGTTTAAAGGTTTTACATACAAGCGTATGGCCCGCATGTTGGTGAGCAACCACCACGGCCTATGGACGCTTGCGATACCGAAAATTTCACTAGCACCGTTGTCTACCCTGATGCCATACTAATAACACCCAAGCGTGTTGCATAATCCAACATATAATCCATGCCCGAAGACTTATACCAGTACCCTTAGTACGAGTTTTACAATTACGAAAACTATGATAGTTTTCGTGAGCTCGCTCTCATACTAAAGATACTGATTTTATTGTTTTCGTTTCAATACAAATAAACAGTGTTTAAATTCTATCATTAAATCATTTGCGTCTTCTTAAATTTTAAGTATATTTGGTTACTTATCATCAAAATGGACATAGAAACATAATTTACAATTACGAAAACTATGATAGTTTTACCCGTACTAAGGGTACTGAAACACTATACTACGAACGACGTAAATCCTCATTTATACAAAGCAAACAACACTTGACCTTTCTAAACAAATAAACAAAGTAACTAACAAACAGTCATAACTTTAAAACTGCCGCTCAACTCAAATGAGACGCGCTGTAAGATTCACACAACTTGTTCAAGAAAGCGTAAAACAAAATGTCTTTGTAGACCAATTTATTCATTGCGCGATACAAAATGTCGAGGCGGTCACCTTTGTATGCCAATTTACATAAAACATTCACCGCGTCTAGCGTGTTTTAGTGAAACCAAACACATCGATGATACCAAACGCGTCACCGAAGTCGACAAACTCAGCGGTGTTATTGTAAAGCCGTTTGTTACTTTCTGTATTGAGATAAAGCCCTTTTTGTTTTAATCTAAGGATAAAGTTCAATAAAGATTATTCAGATCTGTGTCTTTTCAAAGTTGCAGTATAGTAACGCGTAGTGGAAGTTAAGCAACTTACGCAATGATCGGTCATTGGATAGGTGACCAAAACGTATTATCTCGAGCTCCTCCGTGCTTCGGAAGGCGCGCTAAGCCGCTGGTCCTGCATCTGTTGTCGTTAGCACTCACCAATCTACACTGGACCCGCGTGGTGGGTCCTGGCCCAATCTCCCTATTCCATCCATAGGGAAGTTCTGTGTCCCAGCAGTGGAGACGTTAAGAAGTTGATGATGATGATGATACTAAACTTTTAAAGAATTAAATACTTGTACATAGTCATGTGCCAAATTTCATATTTTTGCTTACTTCATCACACACAAAATAGGACCTAAGCCACAGAACACAGAAAGAGGTTAAAAGGGTGATCATAAACAGTTTGAACAATACTAGCCAATCAAACGACGCGACATCAAACAATCGAACCAATCAGCGCTCACACCCGAGAGCAACGGCGCAATCGGGACCAAGTTTTGGTCAAGTTATGAGCATTTGCTCACACATAACTGTGCGCCACAAGGCCGTTCTAACCTCTTTCTGTGCTCTTTGACCTGAGCTAAGCCGTTTCAAACTTGGCAAACAATATTCAAGTCAATTCAATTATTTATCGCATCTGAGTTTATCGCATTCTCGAATTTATTTGCTGCAACAATTCTATTATTCCAATGATCTCAGAAATAACTTTTTATGCTTATATTTTTATAACTTCATTAAATATTTAATGGGTAAAAGAACGCGCTGAGGACCTACTTATTATTGACTAATTTTCAAGCTGGAATCGAACCCGACATATTCCACGATCGATGTGTATACGTAAATTCATTCATCATAATAATAATAATAAATATTTCCAACACTCACACCAATTAGCCTAGCCCCAAAGTAAGCACTGTAGGCTTCTGTTATGGGATACTAGGGTAACGGATAGAATACATATACTGATACATATATAAATATATTTATAGAAATACATATTAAACATTCATGACTGGAGTAAAAATGCAATCATATTCATCACACAAACATCTTCCCCCACCAGGATTCAAACCTGGGACCTCTCGAATAGGCGATACCTTGAAACCCTGCGTACATACCACTACGTACGTACCACTCGGCCACGGAGGTCGTCAAATCAGCTAAATATTTTAATTCGAATTCATCGAGAACGATTTTGTAGCAACTTAGCAAGTTGCTTGTTTACAATGTCGCTGTAAGACGTGATATTGGATGCTGACCACATTTCTGAGAATGTTAATTTATGTATGGCAGCATTTTATTTAACTCTAAAGTACACATGATTGTAAGTGGAATTAAATCGGTATTTATTCGGTTAGCAATAACAAATAGCCTATTCCTATTGTTGTTGCATTGGCAGACTGGGTAAAACCATAATGTTATCGCTTAGCATTGAAAAAAATATAACAGTGTTCAGCGTAGGCTAGTGATTTTATACGGGACCGTGCTATTCTACAATTATTTGAATTCTGGATAAGGGACCAAATAAAAATGTGTTCTATAGTCCGTTAGATTCTAAGAAACTCAAAAAGGTATGTCTAGCTTTAAGATGGTTTGATTTCCTCTGGACGTAGTCTATGTCGTGCAAGATGAAGATTTTGTTTGTGGAAAAGAAGTTCACGCCACAAAGACGGAATACTCACGCATTATTGAATTGATCCTTGAGCGGAGAGCCTTGTTGCACAGCGATGGCGTACGGTTTCCTCGAGAACTCGTCACCAACCATTTGTAGGTCACAGCTAGTCAGAACATGATATCTGACATCGGTCGCGTCACCGAGCCACGCGAATCCTTCGCTGGAGCTCTTGGAAGCCCTCACTCTTTCAAGGGCTTCTTCAATGGAGTTAGGCAGACCCGCCTCTTTCATAGCCTGCCACATCTTGCTGTACTTGTCGCTGACAGGGTAGTCCCATACTGCCAGTTTTGCTCGCTCTACGTCGCTCAGGCTGTCATTCAAGCTCATTTCCTTCCAGATCCTTGGACAAAAAAGAATTTTATAATTTCTAGACAGTAAGCATAGATAAATATCTACACTCTAGCGAGACCAATCATTTATCTATAACAGTAAGTAAGTGTTTCTAGTGTGCAATAGGAATAGATAATTTTCTGTCTTATCTATTCTTCAGGGTTAGAGTGAGATTGGAAGAAAAATGCAACGAAATAACTCTACTTTTTTTTTGTTTCTTAGGTTTTCACGCACATCACTCATTAAATAAAACTAGTTTTTTACGGGTTATAAAAAAAATATTTAATTTTGTCGAGCTTCTTTCGAAGGTAGCTCGACAAAATTAAATAAAAATTTGATTCCGATGACGTAGCCTATAAAGGCTACGAAACGTCAATAAATAAATAAAGTTTCGTGCATTAACTCGTAAAAAACTAGTTTTATTTAACTCTACTTTTCATCAAGATCCAGTCAAGAATATGAAGAATTGCATGATACGTTAATATACCTTTTTCATATAAAAAGGTATGTTTATCAATGTGCACAGAAGATCACTTTACCTTTTGAAAAAATCTGCCATGTAGTTTTTAATTACACTTATGTAGCCATGTAATGGGAAACGTCACTTCCTTACACTATAATTATAATTACATAATACGATAATTTCTTGGAAATGAAAGGAAGATTAGTCGTCATATGTGTTTTATGTTATTGCAGAGGTACTGACACAGACATAGATCGAAATATAGAGATAACGCAAGTGATATCCTTCGTGTGTCAAGCCAAAAAACATGGAAAAAGGGCAAACCAATGGCCAATGGTCTTTCTTTCTTTTATGCTTACTTATATCTTCGCGTCACCATTCTCGACGTCGGACGTCAATCGAAATGTTTGAAAAATATCTAACTATGCAAGGCCGGGTTCAAGCAGGACAGGCGAGGCTGTGGTGGCCCTGTGGAATAATCAACTTTCGATTCGACGAGTCACCAATCGCGGAGTTGCCGTGTTGCAAATCGTAAGGGCCCGGAGTGACCAGATTTTTAAAATACGCTATCAGTCTCCAGCCTTGACATCTTCGTTGCCCTAGGGCTTCCACCACACATCTTCTGCACCGGACGAGGAGCGGTGCGGGGAGCAATAGGCCACACACTTTGCCCCAGCGCGGGCTGTCCTGCGTACGTCTGCAAGATCACCCGAAATACCCCGGGTGATCCCTGCCGTGGAGCGGGCTAGGCTGGAAGGCTATTCGCGGTTCCTCATTCAACAGCGTAGAGGATATTCGCAGGGTTTTTAGAGGATAGTATGCCTTAAGCGCTCATAAGCCGCGCGTCCGTTTCGCACCCCCGTGAGACTTACGAGAGGCTAGTTGTGAGTTCCGTCGGTTGGTGTGCCTCTTAAGCGCGCAAACGTCTATAAATAGAGGTTTTGCCTGCGTAATTAAAAAAGAGGGCTTCCACCACACATATAAATTGTGCTATATTAACACAAAATATTTTGTGATATTGAGCTGTAAAACAATAATATAATTGAAACAGTTGGCCGGCGACTATGCTTTTTCACCAGTAAAGTTCTCGTGTGTACTCAAAATATGGCAGGCTCTGTTTCCATACAATTTGAAGCAGTTGCGGCGCCTTGTTTAAACATCTAGGTGTGTGTGGCTACCTGAAACTGAACTGAGGCTGAACAATAGTTTACCGAGATTTTTATTATCATAATATTATCTTGCGTTGATAATTATTATACAGTTATGTTTATATACTAACATGATAACAAGATATAATATCACGCAAATTAATTGTTCTGAAGCAGTCCAAGCAGCTCATTGGTTCGTTATAAGTGATTAAAATCTTACAGATTACTAAAATCATGCGATGCTGAGAGTTATACTAGGTAATGAAGTTTAAATGTTTTTATATTTTATTAATCCATTGAAATATCTCGCCAATTTTTCAACATTGATTCAAGAAGAAAGAAAGCACTAGTACAAGCGACTTCCAGATTTTGAAAATTCTTATAGAGCAAGTGTTGGCAACTTGACACTATTGTTTTTGGACATTTATGCCACACGTGGCCTATCAATATCAACAGCAAGATGAAATGAGAGAATTTCTTATTAACTCTGCGTTTCTATATTCTGCCAACATTTGGAACAAGCTTTAGGTTAATACCCGATATAATTATTTATTTGTTTATTTTATTAGATGCTGATAAATTTTACTGATAAATCTTTTGAAGAGTCCGATATCGCAGTCTCAGTACTGCGATAAGTTTGCAGTTGCGAAGGTTAGTTTATTTTATAAATAATATTGGTACATTGATCCTCCTTACATAGCGCAGATTTCCCACAGATAGCAATATCGCAGATACACGAACGGCCGACGCACGCCCACGGACTGCAAAGCACCGAATAACTACAGATGCTTCGTCCGTATGCAATTATCACGGGCCGTGGAAAGTCGTAGCAGACATATCAACTCGGCAAGAAATCGTCATCGTATCTTTTCGAATCTTTCGGTACATTTTGTATGAAACTCCCTACTGCAACGCACATTAATCGGAATCATAACTTAATCGATTCACGAAGAAATACAAGCTGTTACAATACTTGTTCGAGGCGAAGCGATAACGCTACGATTCTGATTAGTGTGTTTTGCAGAAAGAAGTTTCATATAAAGAATACTGAACGACTCGAGTTGATATGGTGACGTACGATCCCTTTCCGATTTGATACATCTGCGGAGCCCGGTTACGCCAGGACATTGCCGCTATGAGTAACGGCTAAGTGCAACGCGTCGACCGATGACAACAAAGAACTAAGATGTTAGAAGCACGCCACCAAGCAAAGCCCACAGTCAGAGGCGGCTTTACCTATGGCGCAGATGCGTTGCACTGCGAAGCGACGGCGCCGCGGCGCCGAGCGTTACTCGCCACCGTTACATTTTGACCACGCGTTTACTAGAGGGTGCTGGCTTAATGATTCCATACAAACGCAACAAGGGCCCACAGCGATGGAACTAGCATAAAGTCCACGCATACTGAATGCGCGCAGACCGCGTCCCATGGCTGGCTGAGCTCATCATGACCGGGCTTTAGGCTCCAGTGGCTAAGTGACTACGCCAGAATGGAGCTCGCCACGGAGAGAGACCCTCTGCCTAGAAAATTACTAGAGCCATAGAGAGACAACAGTAGTTAACCCTGGAAATTGCGTATAAAAATTGCAAAATTCAAGGTTTGGCTCTCGACGATTTCCTCCTGGAAAATTAGATACATTTATTTAAAATAAATTTTGCACAAATAATAAGTAGTTATACTGTACCTCTATGTTTTGATTTTTTAGTAAATGCTTATTAAATCACTACACTAGACGTTTTTAGTGGTGATAAAAATTTGTTTATTTTTGGCCTTTTTTGAGGGCTTCTAGTTTCTTTGAAACACAAGTTATCGTAAAACGGTAGAAATGGGAGCATGGAATGAGTCAAATTATATTGTATGTATGAAAAATCAATTCTTTAGTGATTAAAATCGAGGAGGAATCAGTCGACAACGTTTGTATGGAAAAAACATAGCGCGCCTTCCTTCTAAAGGATCTCTGAATCCCAAGACCAATGACAAGGTCATATACCATCAACAGGATATACTGGACTCCTTCCCACAATAACATTAAACTTTGACAACCTTGCTCATACCAAAAATAATACTAAAAAATGAAAACACGCAACTATAAAGATTTCTATCAGTATATTGTTTTAAACTTTCATGGTCACTAACATTATAGTAATCTAAGTAATTTACGGGATTATTCCTAGTTACTCCGTGATCATGGCGCTTGCAACAGCGCCGAAATATCGGAAACTCGCAAAAAAAAGGTACACGGTAACGATACCGTAAATAACTTATATTACTATAATCTTCTGTCAGTACTTCGCTTGTTGTTACTTTCATATTATTATAGTTATATAATATCATCATCATAAAAATAATTAATTTTACATAAAAATGTGTGCCTAACTAAATATAATACTCGTATGTGATGTTTCTACATGCAATTTTAATCTCCTTCAGTAAAATAAATAATGATACTAGAGATAAAATAGTTCTGCCGTTCGTCTTTCTCACATTTTGATGTGTGAATGACCGATAACAATGAGAAAACTGCTGTGGAAAAATAGGTACTTTCAGTTTTTTTTTATTACTTTTAAATGAGAAATTTTACATTGACTAGTGTTAAATATTATTTTAACTCATTTCATTTCATGCGTTACTATGGTAGGTTGAACTGGTTTGCCTTAAAGTTTCTTTCGCTTAGAAACTATACACGATAGGAGCTTCTTTTAGTTTTAAGATGCGTGGGCTGGGTAAGACCAGCGGTTTTCTCAATGTATTCTAAATTTTAATATCACATTTCAATAGGATCTAGACTCAATGAAAAAGATCCTTAGCCCCCACTCAGAGATACCAATAAAATTCAACGGTTGACAAAGTAACATCATCATCAATCCATGCTCGCCCACTGCTGGACATACGTCTCTGGACGATTTTCTGCCACTCTCATCCAGCCTACTCCAGCCAACCTACAAATGTCAACATCCCATCTTGTCTCAGGGCGTCCTACAGTACGTTTACCGAGTCGTGGTCTCCACTCAAGAACTTTCCGGCTCCAACGGCCGACAGTTCTGCGGCTAATGTGACCAGCCCACTGACACTTCAGCTTGCTAATTCGGTGGGCTACAGGGACTAATACCAATCTATTGCTTTTGCAAAGTGGTGATACCATCAAATCTAAAATTGTTGCGTCTACGTTCTTGAAAAACCCGTGAGAGACGGAATATCCGTCAGCGTTGGTCCTTGGCCGTCTCTGAAGTCCGATTACTGGTGTAATTAATGTAGGTAGATATTGAAGTTTTAAATAAAGATTTCCATTACACATTTAGTCCTTTATTTTCTCATGCCACCAAAGTACTTTAAGACCTGACCTTAAAGTACTTTGGTGGCATAATAAAGAACTAAAAGCAAAATTAATACGATATTTTCATATGTATTTATATAATAATGTTGAAAAGAGTTGAAATAAATCATTGCATAATGGCGCCAACAATTACTAAACGTATGCACCAAACTACATCTTAGATTAGTTCTAATGGTTAGTATAAGTAACTCTAAACGAACAGCAGTTCAGTTACAAGCAATGCCAAATGTGGAACCGTTGAAGCTTTGTAAGTTCTATTTATCCGACAATCGAAAGACATAATTATGTAGATCATTGCGATCTTTCTGATCGAATTGGAACCGTCGGTCGTCAGGGGATTTAGCCGTCAACTTGAAAAATGCACAGTGATATAAAACTACTTTTTAGTGGTGTTGTGTTTTTGTGAGTAAAGTTCAAGGTTTCTACTGGGTAGATGATGGGGTCAGTATTAGCAACGGCTCAAGTGATATACAGCAGCTGATGTAGCAAGCATCTACAGGTTAAAGTAGCCACTTAGCATCAGGCGGACCACAAGGCAGACCACTGCCTGATTGTTTGCCACCCTTATTACATAAAACCTTTTTGAACTGCCCATTAAATTCTCAGCCAACCTCGTAACAATTATTAATTTAAATAGTACTATAAATGACTACTTACTCGTAAAATCTAACTTCAATGTGTGCCATCCTTTCGAAGTACGTCATAGCCGCAGACCCGTTGAGGGGTGCGTATTGTATCTTGTATTGCTTCGACAGGTCGTCCAGAGACTCTATGGGGGTGTCCAACCGAGAGACGGTGAGGAAGGCAGCCAAGTTCGCCGTGTAAGATGCTATGATGATGAAACTAGATAAACAGTATTCAGCGTATTGAGTAAAGTTGCTAAAACTCCGCGGGTGCTAGGGGTACAGATTATACAATGGCATTTCGGACTCGCAAACGTTACGAATTCGATTTTGGTACGTGCTAGGAGTACTGGTCGTGTCGCAATCTCAAATGCAACTGACGCGTAAGAAATATCACTTACGCTAAGCTACGCATATTCGAAGATACGCGGGTCCCGCCTATTTGCGACTTGTACTCTTTTTTATTGTTCTGTGGTCTGGACAAAAGATGAAGAACTGAATACAAGTGAACTGTTATACACATTAGGGGTTTTCAAGCTGATCACATCTTCCCACTTCAACCACCGGACCTCAGTGTGACCACTCTTATGTCGTTGAAATAACACGTATCTGAACAATACGCTTTGCTTCGTAAGGCACAGCTGAGCTGAGCTGAGCTGAGGCATGGAACTGAATACAAGTGAACTGTTATACACATTAGGGGTTTTCAAGCTGATCACATCTTCCCACTTTAACCACCGGACCTCAGTGTGACCACTCTTATGTCGTTGAAATAACACGTATCTGAACAATACGTTTTGCTTCGTTAGGCACAGCTGAGCTGAGCCGAGGCATGGAATGTGCTGCCAGCGTCTGTACAGTTTGTCTATAAAGTCGTGACATGAATGTTTGAGGAACTAACATTATTCATGTGTCTGGCAACACCAAACTTATGTACATCAGCTGTCATCGAGTTTCAGTTGTGGAACAGTTTTCCTTTTGTATTTTTTATTGTTTGGATTAAACTGTAATAAATTAAGACGAAACTACGCAGAAAGGTATAAAAATGAGTAAAGTAAATCGGAGTGGCACGCGGGCAGTGATTTTTAAAGTTTTCCAGCGATGTTTCGAAGACTACCAAGCTGGACGAATTTTGTGGGATTTGGACGATGTTTATGAGCGAACAGCATCTATGACGGGTATGTAATCGTGTAACTATTTGTTTGTAATCTGTTGTAAATGCTGCAGTTACAAATTTACTCAATTTACGATTTTGAGACCAAAAAAGGCATTGTTTACATTGCACATTTTTAGATTAGGTAATATTGTAGTACGACCATTTCTTTTGATACGTTATTATGGTTTAACTCGTTCAGGTTTTCTACCAATTTTGAATTAATTGCTTCATGTCAATAAGTTATTGTTTCCGTTACATATTTTTTTACTTTTTTTCGGGAAAATCAGAGAGTCGGATAGTCAACGTAATGTTTTAAGAATGATTGAAAGTTTGAAACTCCTGGGAAAACAGGCAAAGCCGACCAAAGAAAGAAATGGTCACATAAAGAACCATGGCCAGATGCTTTTAGTGAAGATACCTATCACTCACTTTACTAACTGCACATTTACAAATTGTTTGCTACATGCATACTAGTGGCGCCATCATTTAATGTCACGACTTTATAGACAAACTGTAGGTGAAGTGATTTGCTGTACCTCGTAAAAAATAATCCTACCAGATTGTGAGATTAGCAATATATGGATTCCAAATTCAAACACTACAGGCAAAGAAATGAAGTAATCCTCTTTGATGCTTCCAGGTAGGGCTGCTGGCTATGCCGCTACTATTAGACAAAAGAACATCAGTTGTACGATGAACCCTCTGAACACAAACTAAATATATGTGTCACCAGAATATAATACATTCAGTAGGTTTACAATTTCCTAGTAAATTTATCAACATTCGTAAGAATATAAATGACCCAGTACATGCACGACAGGATCTCAAATATTTCTAATGTTTTTTTCGTGATGTATCCGAATATCAAACTGCGTAAATAATGTTAATTCCAAATCGCAACAGCAACATGTCAAACCGGAATAACCTTCTAAAAAAGCAAGATTTGTAGTATTTGTATGTGTCGATCATGCACCTTTTTACAATTGGTACCTAAGCGCTTTACACCCATATCACCAGCGGGTCTCTTAAGGCATAGGGGATTCCCTCTAATCTGCTATGCCTGCCCCACAATAGCGCTGCCGTTCAAAGGTCTTTTTAGGTCATAAATATACTGTAAACAAAGTAAAGAAATGAAATCTCCACAATAACTATTGCACACGAAGTCAGAAGTAAAGAACCGTTTTGCATTTTATACAACTAAAAATATTTGAAATATTTAAAAAAAAAGCATGTACGATTTTAATAACAAAAAATCGGAAAACTTTGAAATGTTAATGAGTATTTTTTTTCATTGTAATAAAATATATATATATATTTATTTAATCTTTTTGTTTTGATTTGATTTACTTAACCATTCCGTGAAATTCCATAAATAAAAGCAATTTGCGGTAAATCTTATATCGGACGGTAGATTTGATTGTTTTGAAATAATAATTTTTTACTGTTTTCAGCGGTTTTTTCTACTTCCATTTTCTGCATTTTGGTTTCTTGACGTTGGAAACACTGGTGGTCAGAGCGAGATACCGCTGCTGCCTGCGCTCTAACAGAAATGTCTCACCAAACTTCATCAATCAGAATTCCGTAGCTGGTTCGAATCGATCTACAACAAGTGTTTTTATGTCTTTATTGCTTCGCTCGTCTTTTAGCGACTGCGGTTCACAACGATTCTAATTTCCATAAAATTAAAGTTATCCACTTTGGATGCAAAAGCAATGGTACTGTTAATGGTAATTCCATACTGTCTCGATTTCTTGTTCGCTGACTAAATTTCGTAAGCGTGAGGTTAGATGCGAAAATATAAACAGCTATGAGTTATTTTATGAGCGACGAAAAATAAATTGAGGTGAAACTTTGATTCGTTGTGAGTTCAAGTTTAATTTATGATTTACTAACGTTTGGCCTACACCTAATACACCAGTGAACCAAATGACATCATACATCATAATTATACAATGCTGCTTCTCACTACATTCATAAAACCAATTTTCACAACATAACCAGCTGTGGTTGCTGATTACACACGCATTGACACAGTTCGGTAGCTCAAATATCATTACGTGAACGAATCTCCGAGCGGACTGAGCGCTCGAGCAGTGAACATTACTGTTTTTGTTTAGACACTTACTGTTAGAACATATCAAGAGCCGTTAATGTAACTTAAGCACGCTGACTGTCGGTTTACTACGAAAGACATCAGCTCAAAATAAACGTACCAAATTTACTCACACCCGAAAAGCGCGATCGAAGAAAAGGATCTCGTGAGTATCTACTTAGACGACCTAATTGGCATTGCAGCCCAATTTGGACCTTAAATGTTGTGCAATCTAGTTTAGTGTTAAGTGAGCTCTATCGGACTTTGTTGCTATGACTATTATTGTGACAGTTTTTGAATGTAATGTTTTTTTTTTGCGGCTTGCAGCTACCTCGGACAAAGAATTAGTCTAGCTATTCAAAGGGGGAACGCTGCCAGTATCTTCGAAACCTTGCCTAAAGGGACTCCTTTTAATAATATATTTTAGTTATTAGATTATATTTTTTAAGGTTTTTAGTTATGGGTTCATTGTTCCAGTATATTTTTTAAATCCATATCCAGTAGTTAAACAAAATTTAAATGTTTCTATGTATATTTATACTTAAATAAAATTTTAAATGGGTCTCATCTCAACTCAATGTTTGTTCTACTATTCCTTCCAGTTCCATCCCTACACAATATCGCGATAGTCATCGTCGTCCACCCTACTTTACATAGTTTTTGATGCTTTAGTAAGACACGCCAAGTTCATGATATATTTATAGATTATCGATTTTAAGAGTTCAGCCCAGGGGCTTTCATTTATTAGGATAAATGATGATGACTAAAATGCGGCCTTCATCTCGAATCTCCTCACCCGAACAGCCACCATGTAGCCGCCAAGTCACCAGGGTGGTTTTTTGGTGCTTCTACTCCACCCTGGGGCATGATTGACGTTATGCAGAATCACAAAAACTCCTTTGCGGTAAATTCCCTCTTCTAATGATATCCTAAATGCAACCTCGATGACCTACATTGTGATTTTCTTACCCGAACAGCCACCACGTAGCTGCCAAGAGTCTCCCAGAGAGGTTCTTTGGTGCTTCACCGCCACCCTGGGGTGTGAGTGACGTCATGCAGAACCATAGGCACTCCTTGAGGGTGAACTCCCTCTTTTCCTCGTCATCCTTGTACTTCTCCCGGTTGTTCTGGTAACTGTACGGGCTCCATTTGTCGAACACCCACATTAAGAAACTGGAACAATTTAAAGTGCTGTAGCTCTATCCTTTTGTTCAAGTTTTGGTCACCTACATTTAGGGTTATCAACTTTTTTCTATCAAATAAAGTATTTTCGAAGCTATTATTACCTCTAAAACTATAGTAGATGGCAAAAAAATATAGTATGCGGTTAAATTATTTTATTAAATAATATATAATTATTAAGGCATAGAGCAGCAAGAATATATTCATATTTAAACATTTTTATTTTTAAGAAAGGTTTTACTGGCAAAAGTCTGCTTTAAGCAAAATATAGTAGTTTCGCTTTACTATACATTTTTTTTAGAAATATATATAGTATTTGATTCACTGATATATTAGGATACTATATTATACAGTCGGTTGGCAACCCGACATACATCAGCCATTTACTACAAATAGTGCGATTCAAATTTCAACGCGCAGGTTTCAGTTCATTGACATCCCGCACTCACCTATAATACATCCTCACGTTTACATGGGCTTTTTCGTTTCACACCCGCCATTAAATTAATTCGCACTGCAAGTAGGTAACTATCGATTCACTCTACAATATAAGTGCTACTCACTGCAGGGATATCAGCTTTTTTTATGTCAAAAGTATGACAAACAATAGTATGGCCCGCCTGATGGTAAGCGGCCACCATAGCCAATCCTGTCCCAATTCCCAACCCCACAATGGTAATGTATTTATACTTACCAAGAATCCTAAAGTAACAACTACTGTGCGTTTGTTTTTGTCCTAAATAAATGAAGAAGATAAAAACCCTCCCGTGAAGCCCTGAAACCTTACACGCAGACAGAAACAGATCATCTTAGATTGAAACTAAAATAAACTACTGTCAGTTATCAAGAATTTCTTTATTAATATTTCTTTTCATTTCCGCGAGTGGTCATATCAAAAGTCAACGACCGCGACTGCGCCAGCAGGTGCGAGGTTATTTTGTACTGTGTGGTTGCGTATAATAGTTATTTATTATACAAGAGTGGAAAGTTCCTTTTTAACCGCGTGCTCGATTTGGATGACCGAGCAAGCGAAGGATTCTAAAGTTGAATCACGAGCGCAGCGAGTGATTCTAAATTAGAATCCTGAGCGTCAGCGAGGGAAACAAACGAGCACAAGGTGAAAAATCTTTCCACTCGAGTGCAATACGTAACTTTTCATCCCACCTCAGCGAGGAAATGACAAAATGAAAAAGAAAACAATTTATAATGACAAAATATTTAAGCAATAAAACGTGAAAAACTAGAATGGCGCGAAGCACGCAAATAAAACAAAGAAACCAAGAAGGTTCCAAATTTAAATTTTTTCACAATTTAAAAAGTTCTAAAAATATTATTTTCATCCCACCACCTCGGAAAGTGTAATTTTGCGCTTCGAAATCTGGCTGGAAAATTCTATTTTATTCGCTTGAGCGGCAAAGTAGATTTGAATTTAGAACATCACATATAATGAGTACTCAATATAATTGTAAATTCAAAACGTCATTAAACCTATTTAATGTAACCTCTATGGTGCCAAATTTATGATTAGAACTTTTTAAATTGTGAAAAAATTTAAATTTGGAACCTTCTTGGTTTCTTTGTTTTATTTGCGTGCTTCGCGCCATTCTAGTTTTTCACGTTTTATTGCTTAATATAATTAACATAACCTAAAAACTGTACAAAAAAATCAACTAAAATGAGTGACATTAGCGACGATGAAGTTTATCTAACGCCAACTGAGTTAACTGAAACAGTTAATAATGCGCAAATGAGCCTTCTCCCTCAGCAATCACGAGAGAAGTATTTGAAACAGTACGATATATTTAACATGTGGCGACTAGCTAAAGGAGCAAAAACTTTCTCCGAAAACGTTTTGCTGGCATATTTTATAGAATTATCTGAGACCAAGAAAGCAAGCACGCTATGGAGTACGTATTCAATGCTAAAATTAACAATTAAGATGAAGAAAGACGTTCATATCGACACCTATCATAAATTAGTGGCATTTTTAAAAAGAGCCTCATCTGGTTATAAACCAAAAAAATCGAAGGTTTTCACAGCATCTGAAATTGCAAAGTTTATTAATGAAGCACCTGATTCCGTATATTTAGCGGCAAAAGTAAGTCAATACGTGTAATTTTTTGTTGTTGATAAAATTGTACATAGTACTTACAATATTTTTAATTTGATTAATTTATTTACGATTATAAATACTTCTTTTGTTACAGGTTGTTCTTATTATTGGTATAACCGGAGCATGTCGAACAAATGAACTTACACTACTTAATGTCAATAACGTATCAAAATATTCTCATAATTCTGATGAATTGCTATTAATTAATGTACTAAATACCAAGACAAAAAAAGACCGCAACTTCGTTATTCGCAAGGAATATGTAAACATTGTTCAGAAATATCAAGCTTTACGTCCTTCTAACACCCCAATTGAACGATTTTTTCTACAATATCGCAACGGAAAGTGTATCCGACAACCTATGGGTCAGAATAAAATTGGCAGTATTCCACGAGAAATAGCAACTTTTCTCGGACTTTTAGAACCCCCGTTATACACCGGTCACTGTTTTAGAAGAACCTCAGCCACACTTTTGGCCGATCAGGGGCTGATCTTCTATCGCTTAAGCGCCATGGAGGCTGGAAGTCTAATTCGGTTGTAGAGGGATACATAGAGGATTCAATCCAAAGTAAATCAAAAATTTGTAATAGTATCGTGGAGGCCATAACGCTGAAAGAACCTCTGTCAGATTCTTGGTCTCGCCCTTCTACATCTAAAATGAGCCCCCATAAGATTGGAAACAATAGCCCTCTCTCGCCAACATTTACGCCAATAGAATCCAATGAATCGGCACAACTATTTAAAATTACTGATACGAGTAGTTTACCACAAAACAGCGCACAATTCACAAACACCAACATAACATTACCTAACAAAAATATTAAACTTAACATAAGTAACTGTAGCAACGTTACATTTAATATTTCTTAATTATTTTCTACTTCTTATTATTTTCTTCAATTTATAGATTATCTTAATGTGTTTTAATTGAAATAAAAATATTTTGTCATTATAAATTGTTTTCTTTTTCATTTTGTCATTTCCTCGCTGAGGTGGGATGAAAAGTTACGTATTGCACTCGAGTGGAAAGATTTTTCACCTTGTGCTCGTTTGTTTCCCTCGCTGACGCTCAGGATTCTAATTTAGAATCACTCGCTGCGCTCGTGATTCAACTTTAGAATCCTTCGCTTGCTCGGTCATCCAAATCGAGCACGCGGTTAAAAAGGAACTTTCCACTCTTGTATAATAAATAACTATTTTCATCCCACCACCTCGGAAAGTGTAATTTTGCGCTTCGAAATCTGGCTGGAAAATTCTATTTTATTCGCTTGAGCGGCAAAGTAGATTTGAATTTAGAACATCACATATAATGAGTACTCAATATAATTGTAAATTCAAAACGTCATTAAACCTATTTAATGTAACCTCTATGGTGCCAAATTTATGATTAGAACTTTTTAAATTGTGAAAAAATTTAAATTTGGAACCTTCTTGGTTTCTTTGTTTTATTTGCGTGCTTCGCGCCATTCTAGTTTTTCACGTTTTATTGCTTAATATAATTAACATAACCTAAAAACTGTACAAAAAAATCAACTAAAATGAGTGACATTAGCGACGATGAAGTTTATCTAACGCCAACTGAGTTAACTGAAACAGTTAATAATGCGCAAATGAGCCTTCTCCCTCAGCAATCACGAGAGAAGTATTTGAAACAGTACGATATATTTAACATGTGGCGACTAGCTAAAGGAGCAAAAACTTTCTCCGAAAACGTTTTGCTGGCATATTTTATAGAATTATCTGAGACCAAGAAAGCAAGCACGCTATGGAGTACGTATTCAATGCTAAAATTAACAATTAAGATGAAGAAAGACGTTCATATCGACACCTATCATAAATTAGTGGCATTTTTAAAAAGAGCCTCATCTGGTTATAAACCAAAAAAATCGAAGGTTTTCACAGCATCTGAAATTGCAAAGTTTATTAATGAAGCACCTGATTCCGTATATTTAGCGGCAAAAGTAAGTCAATACGTGTAATTTTTTGTTGTTGATAAAATTGTACATAGTACTTACAATATTTTTAATTTGATTAATTTATTTACGATTATAAATACTTCTTTTGTTACAGGTTGTTCTTATTATTGGTATAACCGGAGCATGTCGAACAAATGAACTTACACTACTTAATGTCAATAACGTATCAAAATATTCTCATAATTCTGATGAATTGCTATTAATTAATGTACTAAATACCAAGACAAAAAAAGACCGCAACTTCGTTATTCGCAAGGAATATGTAAACATTGTTCAGAAATATCAAGCTTTACGTCCTTCTAACACCCCAATTGAACGATTTTTTCTACAATATCGCAACGGAAAGTGTATCCGACAACCTATGGGTCAGAATAAAATTGGCAGTATTCCACGAGAAATAGCAACTTTTCTCGGACTTTTAGAACCCCCGTTATACACCGGTCACTGTTTTAGAAGAACCTCAGCCACACTTTTGGCCGAATCAGGGGCTGATCTTCTATCGCTTAAGCGCCATGGAGGCTGGAAGTCTAATTCGGTTGTAGAGGGATACATAGAGGATTCAATCCAAAGTAAATCAAAAATTTGTAATAGTATCGTGGAGGCCATAACGCTGAAAGAACCTCTGTCAGATTCTTGGTCTCGCCCTTCTACATCTAAAATGAGCCCCCATAAGATTGGAAACAATAGCCCTCTCTCGCCAACATTTACGCCAATAGAATCCAATGAATCGGCACAACTATTTAAAATTACTGATACGAGTAGTTTACCACAAAACAGCGCACAATTCACAAACACCAACATAACATTACCTAACAAAAATATTAAACTTAACATAAGTAACTGTAGCAACGTTACATTTAATATTTCTTAATTATTTTCTACTTCTTATTATTTTCTTCAAT